GAAGGAGGGAAGTGAGGGGGTTTCTCTAGCAAGCAGTTGAGTACATATAGCAAACCCTAAATTTGGCTGTACTCACTATTGAGTACCCCACTGTAGGCTAGACAAACATAACATTCTGACACACCCCCATAGCCAAAGTGGGGTGTAATCAGCACAACAAGCAAGCAAAACACAAGTTCAGGGTGGATCACAATGTCACCACACAATCTGAGCACAAGTACAAGAAGCAACAGTTTAAAGTTCACAAATGTAAGCAAAGCTAGAGGATATCACACAGGGCAAGTGTGGAGGAGGAGGGACTATGAGAGGAGAGGAGGTAGTGGGCGGCAGCTGAAGCTGCTGGCACACGGCGCAACTGGAGCAACTGGCACACGGGCAACTGGAGCAACTGGCACACTTGCAACTGGAGCATCTGGCACACGGGCTACTGGAGTAACTGGCTCCGCGGCTAACCCTGAGCGGCAGGAGTAACGGACTCACGGGCGACTGGAGCAACTGGCTCATGGGCGACTGACGCAACGGGCTCACGGGCGACTGGCGCAACCGTCTCACGGGCAACTGGAGCTGCGGGCTTCACGGCGGCCACCCCCCTTCAACCTCCCCAAGCTATCCCACCCCCCTTTCACACACCCGCTGCTGCACCCTAGGTTCACTCACACCCCACCCCCTAGCACCACTCCGTCGACTCCCACACACCCACCCCCCTCAGCGGCAGCTGCAGCAGTGGGAGACAGAGGAGGAGGAGCAGGGGAGACCACACACCCGCCACCCCCTACTCGCCACCCCCAGACCCTAACACAGGGCAGGGCGGGACGACGGGTAGGGAGGTTACGGGGGGGGGGGGGGCGACGCGCGGCCTCTCAGGGCGCCAAAATAGGCGGCAGAAGGGGCGACGCTCGCCCCCCCCCCCCCCCCCCCCCCCAAGGTCGCCCCTCCCATCGCCTGTCGAGGGGGGGGCGGTGCACGGGTCCCCGGTTCGCCGCGACAGGCGACGGAGCATGGCTGGGGTGGGGACGGGGCCGCTGGAGGCGGCGACGGGGCCGATAGGGGCGGCGACGGGGCCGCTGGAGGCGGCGACGGGGCCGCTGGAGGCGGCGTCGTGGCCGATAGGGGCGGCGACGGGGCCACTAGGGGCGGCGACGGGGCCGCTGGAGGCGGCGACGGGGCCGATAGGGGCGGCGACGGGGCCGCTAGGGGCGGCGACATGGCCGCAGGAGGCGGCGACGGGGCCGATAGGGGCGGCGACGGGGCCGCGAAGGGCGGCGACGGGGCCGCTAGGGGCGGCAACGGGGCCGCGAAGGGCGGCGACGGGGCCGCTAGGGGCGGCGACGGGGCCGCGAAATGGCGGCGACGGGGCCGCTAGGGGTGGCGCGAGGGGCCGTGAGAGGGGTCGTGAAGGGGCCGTGAAGGTGCCGCGAAGGGGCCGTGAAGGGGCCGCGAAGGGGCCACGAAGGGCCGCGACGGGCAGCAGGGCAGAGCACGAAACGCGCTAAGGGCAGGGCAGGAAAAATAGCGAAGTGGTGGGCCCTAGGAAGGAACAGTCCCAGGAGGGAACCAGCTCTATACCATGTGAAGATTAGAACGAGAATGGAAGGAGGGAAGTGAGGGGGTTTCACTAGCAAACAGTTGAGTACATGTAGCAAACCCTAAATTGGGCTGTACTCACTATTGAGTACCCCACTGCAGGCTAGACAAACATAACATTCTGACAATAACACCCTAGGGTATAGCTAAAAATACAGGGAAAAAATGGGGGGGGGGTCTCCTCATAGGAAAAAAATACATAATACACAGGTCTTTACATATGGTATATTTTAGTGTTAGTGTTTATTTGATTAGACAATGTGGGTGTTTTGATTTTCATTTTAACATCACTGTCTGAGGCGCGAATGTGAGTTTCGGCAACGAACTTCATCACCCCTACGAAAATGCCATGTGGCACATCTCTTGCCACTTGCAGCGGAAGATTCGCTTGTATGTGGCGACTCCGAAGTAGTGGGAGGGGGGAAATCTCATTAGATTGTAAATGAATGTACCGCGAAATTTCATCTAGGGAGAATTTTTCGCGATATTCTTCCGTATTGCAGTTACTCGTTAACGACTATAATAACGAATTCGTAAGAAAGGGGTGTTAGAATGTTATTCTCTAGCCTGTAGTGGGGTGCTCTATAGCGAGTACAACCCATCTAGGGTTTGCTATATGTATCCTCATTGCTGCTAGTGAGCCTCCTCTTTTGCCTAAACTTCTCTTGCCTAGCTAGGGCTTACCTAGCTATGGCTCCTAACTCTGTTCATCATCTCAACATGGTATCAGAGCTGTTACGCTCTTGGGCTGTGGGCCCGCCTACTGCTTCCGCTGCTACTGTTCTGCTGGTCGCGCGCACCGGGCGCGCGACACTTTTTCATCCCGCCGCGCGCTCGTGGCGCGCGGCGGTTTTCTGCACGCCATGCGCTCGGGACGCGTCGCGGTTTCCTGCCCGCTGCGCACCCTGGGTGCGCGCGGCGGTTTCGCGTTCCGTCGACCCGCGCGCCCGTCCCCGTCGACCTGCGTGCACCTCCCCGTCGCCCTTCGCGGCGGCCCCGTCGTCCCGCGCGCGGCTCCCCGTCGCCCTTCGCGACGGCCCCGTCGACCCGCGTGCGGCTCCCCGTCGCCCTTAGCGGCGGCCCCGTCGACTCGCGCGCGGCTCCTCGTCGCCCTTCGCGGCGGCCCTGTCGACCCGCACGCCGCCCCTAGGGACCCGTGCACCCGTCCCCGTCGACCCGCGCGTCGCCCTGCGGCCCCCCTCCCCGCACACCTGAGTTCGATTACCGCACATCCGAGTTCGCTTCCCGCACGCTTGTGCACGCTTCACGCACACCTGAGCTCGCTTACCGCACACTCAGGGTATGGGGGTGACGGGTATGGGGGTGATGGTTGTGGGGGTGTCGTTTGTGCGTGCCGTCCCCTTCTCCTCCTCCTCCTTCGTCTCCCACTGTTGCAGCTGTCGCTGAGGGGGGTGGATGTGTGGGAGTCTGGGGTTTAGGGTTTAAGGGGGGTGCTGTGGGAGTGGAGCTAGGGTTTGAACAGGGGGTGTGTGAGAGGGGAGTGGGGCAGTTGGAGGAGGTTGTGTGTAGGTAGCTGTCGTGTCGCCTGCAGCGCCTGTAGTCCGTCGCCCTTGTTTCGGTAGCCAGTGAGCCTGTTGCACCAGTCGCCAGTGGGTCCGTTGCTCCTGCCGCTCGTCTATAGCCGCGGAGCCAGTCACTCCAGTAGTCCGTCGCCCTTGCTTCGGTAGCCACTGAGTCAGCCGCTCCTGTGCCCGTGCCTCTGCAACTTCAGTCGTTGCCTCCCATCTTCTCTCCCTCCACAGTCTCTCCTCCTCCTCACTTGCCCTCTGTGATTAGCTCTAGCTTTACTTACCTTTGTGAACTCCTGCTCTATACCTACTTGCTCATTGTACTGATTACACCCCACTTTGGCTATGGGGGTGTGTCAGAATGTTATTCTCTAGCCTGTAGTGGGGTGCTCTATAGCGAGTACAACCCATCTAGGGTTTGCTATATGTATCCTCATTGCTGCTAGTGAGCCTCCTCTTTTGCCTAAACTTCTCTTGCCTAGCTAGGGCTTACCTAGCTATGGCTTCTAACTCTATTCATCATCTCAACAAGGGGGGGTGTTATAGAAAATCAGCCAAAATGGGGGGTATAGTAGAAACAAGGGCTATCATAACACCCACCCCGCACAAGCTACCCGGGGGTGTACAATTACGGGGGGGTGTTTTGTCCGGGAGAATACGGTACTGGAAAGTATCTACTAGGTATCCGAATCGTAACTCTCACAGTTTTGGGATGTGCGTGGGGGTGAGAGGTAATTGGGAGGGGGTGGGGAACAGGGCTGTCGATTGGTCTGGGTCCAACCCGTACGAGGCTGAGCTGACCCGAAAACAAACCCTGAAATATTTCACACACACGAAGGGGGTTGGTGTTGTTTGGAGGGGAGGGGGGGGCGCGGTCTAAAAGGGCGTGTAACATTGCACTGAAGAGCTCTGGTCGACGATTCAGTCGGCCAAAAACCTCACCAGTGTTCGTGAAGGGCGACTCATTTACTGTCCACGTTGGGCGACCTGTCATGATATGGCGGACGCTCAGCACCTTGGGAGTGTCTCGGCGAAACCAGGGCTTTTCGCGAAAGACGGGTGAGCGGATTTATTTAAGTCCTCAAAGATCTGACGTACTGTATACTCCCGGACAAAACACCCCCCCATAATTGTACACCCCCGGGTAGCTTGTGCGGGGTGGGTGTTATGATAGACCTCGTTTCTACTATACCCCCCTTTTTGGCTGATTTTCTATAACACCCCCCTTTTTCTTACGGATTCATTATTATAGTCGTTAACGAATAGCTGCAATTAGGAAGAATATCGTGTGAATTTCTCCCTCAATGAAATTTCGCGGTACATTCAAAGGCAATCTGCCGAGATTTGCCCCCTCCCACTATTTCTCTGTCGCCACGTGCAGGTGAATCTTCCGTTGCAAGTGGCAAGAGAGGTGCCACGTGCCATTTTCGTGGGGTTGATGAAGTTCGAGGCCGAAACTCACATTCACGCCTCAGGCAGTGATGCTAAAACGAACAGTAAAACACCCACATAGACTAATTACAAAAACACTAACACACTAAGATATGCCATATGTAAAGACCCGGGTATTATGTGCTTTTTTTCCTATGAGGAGACCCCCGCCATTTTTTCCCTGTATTTTTAGCTATACCCTAGGGTGTTATGTCCGGGAGAATACGGTAACATCTTCGAAATATGCATAAGTTGACAATTTTAAAAACAACTTGCTTGAGTCCAACTAGCATGTCCTGGTCTTCGCAGCATTGTCCCATGCATGGCCATGAGGCACTGCCCTCAGCCAGGCCTCAGCCACACCCATCCATGCAGCTGCCAAGGTGGATTCTACTCGGTGGCTTAAGGCTTGCCAGCTCACAACTTCGGTGCATTAACTAAGTAAATTTTGCCAGCTCAGGTTGACACCAGGCGCACGGCAAAGGTCTTGGATCCCACCTCCTCTGTGATGCGCAGGAGGGAGGGAGGGGGGGGATAAGCGAGGACAGGGAGGGGGGTTGGAGAAAAAGAGGGATCGGGAGGATGGGAATGCAGAGTTAAGGGGGCAGCAGGAAACAGAGAGAGGCGGAAAAAGAAGGGGGGTTGGTAAAGTAGCTTTGGTGGGAGAGTGGGAAGACAGTGATGGTCATCAATGGGAGGAGGAACGTAAGCAGTGAGGGGAAAGGAGTAAGAGGGGGAGAGGAAGGGAGTGGGGAAGTAAGTGAGGGGCGGAATCAGAGAAAGTGCACAAGAAAGGGATTGAAAGGAAAGAGTGCGAGGGAACAAAAGGAAAGAGTGCGAGGGGCTAAAAGGAAAGACTGCGAGGGAATAACAGGAAACAGTGCGAGGAAATAACAGGAAACAGTACAAGGGAATAAAAGGAAAAGAGCGTGAGGGAATAACAGGAAACAGTGCGAGGTAATACAAGGAAAAGAGTACGAGGGACTAAAAGGAAAAAGTGTGAGGGATTTAAAGGAAGCAGCCATCAACCTTGAGGTGTATCCCACCCTTCTGCACCCTACCTCTACCTCCCTCCAATCATCTCCCCCCTTCACCAATCAAAGCCTGCATGTCTGTCCCAAAGAAGAAGAACGCCACGGACACCAAAGCCATCAGCCCCAGCTGTATCCCACCCTTCTGCGCCCTACCTCTACCTCCGTCCCTTTAACTCCCTCTCCTCACCAATCAACGCCTGCTCACCCACTCCAAAAAGGAAGTCGTATTGACCTGCCACCAGTAGGCAAGGCAATACCACGTGCAACAGACACCGAACACCATCTTCAATCAATCAACCAGCAGACATAGCCTCCCCCCCGCCTTACCAATCAAGGCCTGCACGCCCGGCCCAAAGAAGGATGTGAACTTGGCCTGCCTCTCCGTGAAATCCGCTTTCGAGAGAGCCGGGGCCTCAAATATCAGCACCAGGGAGTACCGTCCGTTGTACACCTGGAAAGGAGGGAGATTTGGAGAATATACAGAAGTGCGGTTTAGAGAAAAATGGGGCCTCACAGATGGGCAAGACAGGGAGTACCGCAGGGGCCAAAGACGGGCAAGGCAAGATGGGCAAAAGAGGGGTTACAGTCATAGGAGAAAGAGTCTTTACCGCATTGATAATCAGCAGCGAACCACAAAAACACACGGGAGTTGCACTCCACAATGCCTTCATATCTCAGCGGTTTAGCTGTGGCGAAAGTGTGGTTGCTTAATTTCTCACCTGCTCGCTGATGGAGGTAAGTGTGGGTGCGTTTCTGCGCTGAATGCCTCCCGACTGCCATGCGAAGGTGGGTTGGGAAAGTCGAGCAGAAGGGGGGGGAAGAGGAGGGGGGGGGCAGAAGGGGAAAGGAAGGGTGGGCGGGATGCACAAAACGGGTTGAAAAAATGCCTTCCGATTGACACGCGTTAGCCAGATATCAAGAGAGGAGGAAAGGCAGCAGGAAGGGGGGGGGAGAGGGGCAGTACAGGTGTAGGGATCAGGGAGGAAAATCAGTTTTCGTGGACGCCTCTATTTAGGAAGATAGGGAGAGTGTTTGCGGAAATGGTAGTGATGAGTGCGGAGCTAGCACTTGGGAAAGAAAATGCACAAATACTCGGATTCGGAGTAGGGCTAAAGAGAAGCGCTTGTGTCACGTAGCAAAGCAAGGACAGGAGGGCATTTAGCTGGGACGTAAAGTAGCATTCAGATAGATTTTGGAGGAGGATCGGACTCTTCAACCAGGTTGTAGCAGAGTTTTCTCTTGAGGACCTCGTCTTTCAAGGCTGATTCGACTGTCACCAGGTTGCTGCAAACCATTATCTCACCAGGTTGTAGCGGAATATTCTCTTCAGGGCCTCCTCCAGATGCTGCTCGTCTCCATAGCGGAACCGCGTGACGTCACTGCGCACCTGGGAGGCAGACAGGAGGAGGGAGGCGTGGGTGAGAAGATGGAATGAGAGAAATATCTGACTAAGCAACCAGCAGCTTCCTCCAGATGCTTCTCATCTCCGTAGGGGATGGCACTGATGGAACCGCGTTATGTCACTGCACACGGTGTGCAGATGGATGGGTGGAGGGAGGAGATCAAACACTTATCATGACTTGAATAAAAGCCTCCTCCAGGCGTGGACCTGAGTGATGGCACGGTGCACCTTGGTTAGGCATGACCGTTAACATTACCTGCTGATCAAGCAGCACACAGTGGTCGTGGCTTGTGTCTTCCTCAGAGGCACACTGGTCAATGACCGACCCACACCCAACCAAGCGGCCCACAGCGTAAGGGCCCACATTCAGCGCATCCATCCCTCACTTGCTGAAAGATGGGCGTGGCGTGGCCAGTGTCTCCCTCAGAGAGCCACCCACTCTAGTCACTGACATTCACCACCACGCCTAGCATCTGCTGCTCAAGGGGCCACATTCACCACACGCATCCCTCGCCTGCTGCAGGATGGGCGCGGCCTGTGTCTCCCTCAGAGCCACAGCATCAGCATACGATGTGCATGGCACTGGCTTCGGTTCAATGCTACACGATGAGCCACGCACCCACCCCACATTGGAGGCGCCCACCCCCACCCCACACTCAGCACGCTTCCCCCTCACCTGCTGCAGGATGGGCGTGGCCTGTGCCTCCCTCAGAGCAACAGCGTCGGCATACGATGTGCATGGCACTGGCTTGAGCTCCGCATACTGCACATGGGGAGGGGAGGCATGGATGGAGGCATAAGTTCAACTTTTGAGGCCCCTCAAATGTAGTCACAGCATCCACATGCGATGTGCATGGCACCGGCTTGAGCTCCGCTTACTGCGCATGGGGAGGGGAGGCATGGATGCATGGATGCATGAGAGTTCAATCAGGCTAATGGTGCTTTTGATTCGACTCATAAGCAGCTCCACATACTGCACAAGCCACATGGGGAGGAATGGAGGCATAAGTTCAGTCAGAGTGATGATGCTGCGACGGGGGCGTGTAGCGGGTTCCAGTACAAGACAGTCTATGATGACCAGGGCGCCATGCACAGTGAGCATGGAACCACTGTCAACCCCTTGCATGTACCACGTGCATGTTGAAACAAATGGACGAGGATAGAAGATACATATGTAATGAATCATTGCGAGCCGTTTGAAGCCACGGCCGAATGACGGAGGGCCACTTGGAGCCCTTTGAATGCCCCGCCAATCAACCAGCACGAGTAATATCACAACTGTTGTATATTAGAGCATACAATAAATTGAGCTCGTACCTTGAGAGCGAATCCGATGAGCGCAGTGGGGAAGCCGTAGGTGAGCATGAGGGCGGAGGACTCGGAGCCCGGCAGGAACTGGAAGTAGGCGCCAAAGCCGTACGACAGCAGCAGCAGCCCCACCGTCAGGCCGATGGTGCCGAACGACGTCTGGACAGAAGTGACCGAGGGGAGAGAGGGAGAGAGAGGGGGGGGGAGAGACGGATCACGAGTGAAATGAGCAGGCGCGTTGTGTGCTGGTGGTTGGACAGCCTGGATGAGCAGCAGAACCCCCTGTCAGGCCAACGGTGCCGAAAGGCGTCTGGGGAGAAGGGAGGGGACAATGGAAAATGGAAGAGAAGGGAGAGGAGGAAGAGAGGGGAGGAAGAGAGGGGAGAGCGAAGAGAGAAGGGGGATTTGAGAGAGGGGTGAGAGAAAGCAGGGAAGGGAGCACAACCTCTCCACGCTTTACACGGCCTCATTCGTACCTTACTAGCTTTCAGTCACGCGCTTTACTTCTCCTTCAATCGCGAATCGCTACTCGCCTTCAAACACACAGTTTGGTTCGTCGTCAATCGAGTACCTTGATCCGCATTCAATCGCGCACCCTAGTTCGCCCTCAATAACAGAATCTGATTCGATTGCATAATCAAGGTACGTACCTAGTTCTGCGTAGCTGCGTTTCAGCTGCTGACATGAATCGCCTCAAAGGAGTCCCATGTTTCAGTTTAAATCGCAGAACTAGGTAACCAGTGGGGCATTTGCTGAATGCCCAGCTCGGGTAATTTTGCTAAGGACGGAATCTAATTGGCCCAGTATATATGTAGCTTGACGTTGATAAGCTTTGGCACGCAGTACTGTCCCTGTGTTATGGTCGCGACCTATGGTGGGTCAGTGCACTGTGCCTACCGTGCCGTTGACCTCATTGTCGAGTATGTTGATTGCGTAGCTGGCTTGTTACCCGTGCACTGGTGTCGCTCCGCTTGCTTACAACGCGTATTCGGGCAGAAAGTCGTTGACCTAAATGACTCTGACTTGCTACTGGTCAACCGCAACGCGTATCGTGGTTCCTCTGCTTTCTTATTACGCGTACATTGGTTCGTGTCGCTTACAACGTGCACATTCTTTGATCCTCCTCTCGCTATTTAACGCGTACCTTGGTGATGCTCAGCTCCGAGTCAGGCACCACGACGCTGTTCTTGCTCACGAGCGACGCATCGAACGACGCCGACTGTGGTTCAGCCGTCTCCGCTGCCGCTTGACCGTCAGACGCGGCTCGCACCGTCAGAGTTGACAGCCGGCACCGGCTGACGGCCGTCTGCCGGTTAATCCGCATAGCCGGACGTGCCACTAGGCTCAGACGCGATTTAACATTTTGTTGCGAAGAGACATTCGCGACGGCGAATGCTGGCGAAGCGAGCGACGAGGAGACGACAGTTTGGGCCGCCATTGTGACGGACAAATATGCACAAAGGAAGCTCAAAGTTACTAAGTAAAAGCCTCACACGTCAAGACCGGAATCTCTGAGCTCTCCTGTCACAAAATAATCACGCTCAAGCTTCAGCTAAAAAAACTGAATGGGATTTGGTGTGAAGACAAGAAGAAATTGCTGCTTGTGAGATGTTCTGCATGCCAGCTGATCATTTCAGGGGGTGTTCGCCAAAAAAACTGCTTGGCAGCAGTGGCTTAGCGCGGACCAGCGCGGACCATCTACGGAACCCCTGTGGATCTGAACCCCAGTACACTCCCATAAGCAGCTGTACACGACCCCAAAAACTGTTTTAACAATCGGCCCACCCGCTTCCGGATTAGCGAAACTCGCACATTGTGAGGTTATATTTTTCGCCACTTCGCGATTTTGGGTGGCATGTTACGCCAGCCGACAATTCGCTCAGCCAGTCACAATTTTTGTCACGCAGGTCACTGCAAATGGTCCCCAGTATCACGCGGGAATGAGCTCGGGGAGACGAGAGGTGATGCTAATGGAGGGTCTTGGACATGCCGCGTATTGATCTCCTGGGAATTGAGCAAGGTGAATCTGACGGTGGAGCGTATCGAACCCCATCGCAGCGTGGCAGTCTTCTTCTCTGCCATGTGGCATCGACTTCGTGTGGTGAGGGTATCCATCAGCTAGCTATTCAAGGGTTCCAATCCAGTTTCTTTTTATATACGCATGTGCCAACTAAAATGACACTAAAACGATTTCTTCTAATCCAGAAGAGCTTTCTGATTACTTCTTTTTTGGGGGGGAGCTAAATGAGCTGATTACTTTTTTTTTTGTCTAAGCAAGAGCTTTCTCTCAACACCAAAATAGTGTTCACACAGGGAACATTGGTTCGTCCTCAATGCTTCTGCAAGATCCTGTTTTTCAGCTAACTAAGGGCGTGTTCCTACGGCCTCACATGAGGAAACCTCGTATCAAGAATGTACTTTTTGCCTGGTAAACTTGCGAGAGGTTTCGGGTTTAGGGGTATTTTCAGTGTGAGCCTGATACGAGGTGTAGGGACACGCTGTAAGAGCGTGTTCCTATACCTCGTATCACACACAGCTCGTATCAGCTTCGTATGGTGAAATACGTTTCAATGCGTTCGGCTGCGGTTGAATGCGTTTTAGTGCAGTTCGGCGCCAATCTGATACGAGCCGCAGGAACTACTCTAACTGCACAGAAGGTAACACATTTCGTTATTTGTTCTGTTAGAGTAAGGATCTTTTGAATAGGTTAGGAATGCCTTAGAGAGTTGGTACCGTAAGCCCCCGGTATAAGCGCAGGCCTCGGATAAGCGCAAGCGCTTTATAAAAGGATGAGGGCGCTTATATCTGGTCCTCGATTATAAGCCCACCCCTGAAGGCTTACGGATTATAAGCGCCACCCCGTGTTTGTTTTTGTAATAATTGTACTGAAATCGTTGTAACGAAACTCACGTTTCCATTCCCACATTTTGAATTTCGATACCCTTCACCTCGCTCGGCTCATTGCCTGCGCGTCCAGTCAGAATGAGCTGTCAGCGGCGAAAGTTGACTCATTCTGACTGTGTGTGTTGGCAGGGAATCAATCCCTGCCAGCTTGCGCGAGATTCTCAATTCTAGCCCTGTATAGTTTCGACTCGATTCAAATTACAAGAACGTGATCTACATTTTGGTGTAAGAAATACGCATTTCGTAAATGTCATTATATAAGCGCGGCGCTTATACAAATCCTCGATTATAAGCGCACCCCCTAAAAACCAGTGTTTTTTTATATCCCCAGGGGCGCTCCTATCCGGGGGCTGACGGTAACGGAATTGTTGTGGTAAGAACTCTAATCATTGTAAATTTAAATGACAAAGTTGATTAAAACATAGATTACACACATAATAAATAAATCTAGCATTTTCTTCTTGTTACCAAGTTGCTGCATTTCACCGTACAGACAGTTACGCCTGTTGCCATTCCTCGATGGTAAGTTTATCGTCGGTCCAGATGGTCAACAATCGCGACAATTGACTCTTGCGAATGTTTACCTTCCTGCCCTTGATACGGGCTGATCCAATACTGCTGCTAGCGCTGCTTCGATAATGACGGGTGCGGTACAGCTGTACCTAAGAGAATGCTTAACTCAATTCCCTCCATATTCCAACACGCCCCTTCATTCCTGGAGATGCGCCACGTGGCTCTTTTGGACAACTCCACACAGGTCCGAGCAGTACTGGAACTTCTGACTTTGCAGTTTCTTCGTCAGAAAATCAGCTGCCATTTCGCCAGTCAGGTAGTAGGTGAGTTGGACCTTCCCCTTGTCGGTTTCGTCCTTGACGAAGAAGTAACGCAGGGTGATGTGTTTCGTGCGGTTAACGAAGTCCGGCTTGTTTGCGATTATAATCGCACTCTGGTTGTCGCACGAAACATGAAGGACCCGTTCATCGCCGTTTTCGTTTCCTGCAGGAGCTCCATGAGGTAGAGTCCTTCGTGAACTGCTGCACTTGCTGCGATGAATTCTGCTTCTGCTGACGAAAGGGTGATGAGCTCCTGCTTCTGTGAGTTCCAGGAGATGGTCCCTGCAGCCTCGAGTTTGAAAATGAAGCCTGTGCGAGACCTCCTGTTATCTGCGACCCCATCGTTATCCGCATCCACGTAGCCGGTGAGCTGTAGAGTAGCCGTTAAGTTTGCCTTGTAGGTGAGGCCGACATCGGGCGTAATATGAAATACTGAAAGGCGCGTCGCAGATCTGCCATGTTCTCCCCTTCAGGTCGGCGCAGGTAGTGGGTAAGCTGGCTGGCGATGTAGGATAGGTCCGGTCGGCATGTGACAGCGGCGAACAGTAGACACCCGAGCTGCTGCTGGTAGAAGCGATGGTCGGCCGGAAAGAGTGGGGTGGTATCGGGCTCGTGATTAGGGTGAGGAGTGCAAAACAGGGCGGTGATGCCGACGGGAGCGATGCCGAACTTCTTAGCGAGGGTTTCCGCGTATTTCGCGCCGGAGAGGTGGATCGCGTCAGCGGTCTGAGTGACGCTGAGGTCGAGAAATTGAGTGACGTCGTGATCGATGGCCACTTCCAGCTTCTCCTTGATGTCATATTCAAAGCAATCAAGCCGCTCCCTATTGTCCCCGGTATAAAGCAAGTCGTCCACGTAGGCAACGAGCAGGATGAAACTGCCGCGCGACACGGGGCGGTACATCCCCTGATCGTGGGGAAGCTACTGGAAGCCGAGCTCGATGAGCACGGTGTGGAGGTACTGCTTCCACAGGCGTGGCACCTACTTGGTGCCATGGAGGGACTTTCGGAGGAGGCAGATGGCGTCGCCGTCTTCCTCGAAGGCGTGCGGCTGCTCGACGTAGATGATAGTGTCGACGATCGCGTAGAGGAAGGCGTTGGAGACGTCGATCTTGCGGAGGGGGCGTTGAGAAAATGAGAACGAGAAAAGGATGAACTATGAAACAGTTGGGTACAAGTACTAACCCTAATTGGGTTGTACCCCATATGGGCTACCCCACTACACCCTACACAAAAGCATAAGCTATAATGTTCTGACACACCCCCATAGGCAAAGTGGGGGAGAACAAGCGGTCACAAGACCAGTCAAGCAAAGCAAAGCAAAGCAAGCTCAGGGTGGATCACAAAGTCACCACACATTCCGAGCACAAGTTCAAGGCCACAAGGCCAGTTCACATGCATGAGTACATATATATAGAAAGCTAGACAAGCAAGAGCAGGTGTATATATATGTAACAGTACAAGCAAGGTCAAGAGGTGAGCAAGTGAGGCAAGACAGGCACAAGACCAAGCAATGTACAGAAGCGCTGTTGATCACAAGGCGCAAGTGCCTTGGTGAAGATATCAGCAGTGTTGGCCTCAGAGGCCACGTACGCAAGACGCAACTGACCACACCTGAAGGGGCAGGACCCTGAGGGGGGAGGGGGTCTACCGGGGGGGGGACATGGCACAAGGAAGTGCGGTGGCGGGGGGAGGGAAGGAGTGCGGTAGGGGAAGAGGCGGTAGTAGGGTACTGACTCGTCGAACGTGACGTCCTGGGAGGACAGAACACGACGAGAGGTGGGGTGGTAGAACTGCCACCCAGGGGCGTCAGGGGGGAAGCCAAGGAAGACACAGGGAGCAGCACGAGGGGACAGCTTGTCCGCAGACAAGTCGCGGACAAACGCCCGAGATCCCCAGACACGGAACGCAGACGCATCGCCGACCTTCCCCGTCCACAGCAAGGCTGGGGAGGTCTCCGGTCTGGAGACCCTGGGGTGAAGGTTGATCTGATGCGCCGCGTACCGAACCGCAAATGGCCACAGAAAATGGGGGGCAGCCGCATGCATCATGGACGTACGAGCGACGTCCATGACCATGCCAATGCGGCGCTCAGCAATCCCATTTTGCTGTGGAGAGTCCGGAAGCGTGAAGGTCTGGCGGATGCCTCGCGCACGACAGTAGGCTCGCAGAAGGCCAGAGGAGAACTCTCTGCCTCGTTCAGAGTGCAGACGCAGAACAGGAAAGTCCGAGCCGAAGCTCCTCCTGAGCTGGAGACGAGCTGCGCGAATCCAGTCGATCAACACCTCAGCGACATCACCCTTGCTGCGCAAGGGGAAGACTGTGGTGTAACGCGAGTAGTCGTCAACCACCAGCAGGAAGTAGCGCTCGTGACCCTGTCCACGGACGCGGGCCGGGCCCCACACGTCCATGTGAAGCGTCTGCAGCGGGGCCTCTGTCGGGGGAAACTGAGAGGAGTGAGGGGCAGCTCGGAGCCGCCCCTCGACACAGGGGACACAGGAAGGACCAGGCCCCGGAGGAAGGGGAGGGAGGGACCGGGGTAGACCAGAGACAAGGACACGGGAAGCCATGCCTCGGAGACGAGGCAG